ACAAATTTTCAATTTTTATTTTTTTTCGTTTTTTTTGAAAATTTGGGTTGGTGGATCTGTAAACCAACAAAATAAAAAATTCTCGCCTTATACACCACTGATAATATAAATAAGAAATAAAAATCATATAACGAAGGCTCCACCTCCATTTTCTTGTGCTTGGCCTCATACTCCTGCAGATGTAGTTGCATCCGCGACGCGTACTCCTCCGCTGATAGATTCATCTCCCCGGCCATGCGTAGCTTCTCTTCTAAGGCTGTTCTCGTTCCCTGCACCTGCTTCAACCTGTACACACACACACACACACACACACACACACATGTGTACAGAATGAAAGAGCATACAGTGTTTATGCTCTACTATAATGACGCTCTCATTATACCCTGTACTTCAACCTGCATTAATGCGCAGACACATACACTCACACACACGCACGCACACACACGCAGGCACACACACGCAGGCACACACACGCAAGCACATACACGCAGGCACACACACGCAGGCATGCATGTAACGCCTACGCACGATGGACTTATTGGTATGTTATCAAAAAATGTTAGATAAATATTATAGTCATTTAACAGACGAAATTTGGCGTAACTAATAGTCGCAATATACTATTGATTAGCTTCCAGTTTTAGTGCGTAGTTTAAACGACGTAACATTTTCACTGCATGTAATCGCTGTTATAGCAGTGATCTTACTTGTCACTTTTGCTCTGTATGTCTTTCTTTAGCTGGGACACCTGTGCTCTGACATTCTCCAGCTCTGTGCCAGTCCTGTCTACCATTCGCTTCAGTGTCTCCACCTACAGCAGGATATGTGAATTACAATGCATGTCACTTACTGCACTACTATCGACAGCACCAAGAGGGTTGCATGCTCTCTGTCAACCTCTCTTTGCGCTCCACTCTCTCCTAGCTAACCTAATTATTCACAATACATCAAATAATCATGTAAAATGATATTGAAAAGCCTCGGGTATCATAGGTAAATCCACGTGTGCTATAATGTTGATGTCACAGGTATCAGGAGTTACCTTGCAAACATAGTTAGCCATAGCTACCAGAGAAACATACAAGTATATATACTGTAATGCAAAATGATACAGCTATGCATAATTACCTTCACCTATCGACAGCTATCCGCAGTTATCTGACACACATAGCTAGCAACAGTTATCAGAGGTAATGTGATGTGATCAGGAGTGAATAATAGAGATCTCTAGAGTTATCTCTATTATTCACTCCTGATGTGATGTAATCAAGAGTGAATAATAGAGATTCTATAATAGAGATAATAGACATTCTATTCTCTATTATTCACTCCTGATGTAATCATTATCACAAATCCATAATCACAATCATTATAGTAGGAGATCAAGCCAGGCCAACCTCATCTTGGAACTGGACCCGTTGTGCCTCCTTGTTCTGAGCTTCCTGTCGTAGCTTAGCTGCCAGCCTCTCCGTCGCTGCCAGCTTCTTCTCCGCCTCCAGGTTGTTCTCTCTCTCCCTGTCGAGGAAGCGTTGCTTCTCCTTCACCATCTCCTCTCGCTGGCTGGCCGACTGCTTCGCCTTTGAAAGGTCCTTCGGTTGGAGAAGTGAAGACATGAGGAGTCGCGTTTCATGCATACAGGTGAAGATGAGAGCAGGTACACACACATGCTAGATGAACCGACATGCTGGCAGTCGTGGAGGTAGGTTCGCAGGCACAATATCACACCAACAAGAAGTGAGTGCATGTGACGCAGCTACACGCACCTGGTTGTATACAATCTCCTCCTGCTTCTGCGAATTCTGATCGACCTTCGCGATCTTCGCCTGAAGGTTCCGCAGCGCTGTTCTGCTTCCCTGCACCTCTGCCGTGAGAACCTTCTCCTCCTGCTGCGCGGCCTGCAGCTCCTGCAGCTGCTTAAATTTCACCTCGCGCAGCTGCTGCAGCTCCACCTACAGGCAAGAAATGGAACATTTCGCTGGTTGTTCAAGACTGCGCGGAGTTTTACGGGGGTCGTCTATGTACAGAGCTTTGCAGCATGAGAGACCTCATACGGTTATGACTACGAAATTTATGCTCGCCTTGATTCACTGGACATATATGAAGAGGTCAGACATTAAATTTTGGCAGCACACATGCATGACATATCGACGAGTTCAAAATATCTCATATTGCACACATTGAAATAATAATACACCATTGACTTTTATAAATGATACCAAGGGTAAATAATGACAAAAAATACATTTTCTCGGAGGGACAGTGGTCTAACGGAGAGCGATGTGGAAGACTTTTTTTGTATTCAGCGCTGACTACCATTTTTAGCTTCATCTGACATAGTCAGATGCAGCTTGTAGAATCGCAGTGTACGTACCGTTCGTCCGTCCGTCCGTCGTCCGCTCCGTGCCGTCCGTCGTCCGTGGCGTCGAGAGCGTCGTCCGTCAACAGTGTGTGGCACACTCGTTAACCGTGTGTACAGGTACGGGTGCGCCACGATTTTCGCGGACGTGGGGGGGTAATCACGAAACGAGTTGGCGATGTCGAAGGCTGGGGCTGCAAAGCGTCAAAGCGTCAAGAGGTGGTGATAAAAGAAAGCGGGGGAACATTCACTCCTTTAACTTAGGTATAGGAGAAATGCAGAATTGCCGGCACAATTTAAAAACGGCAGGTATAGACTACGTGATAGTCGGTGAGAGTGATATAGCATCATGGTGAGAAAGAAAGAGCCAATACACTGTGCGGGAAAGTTAGTGAGGTCACAGGTCAAAGGTCAAAGGGCACAGGGCAGAATGTTTAGACATTTTCTGAGGACATGGTGTACGGAGCGATAGAAAAACTTTTTTGTGTTATCGCAGCGGTGACCTAGAATTTTCTATGCTTAATTGAAAGGACATGTGAAATATACTTCTCTGACATGGCGAAGAGAGTAGAAGTGTCAGGATAAAACCTGTGTTGACCTCAGGAGGGAGAGATTAAACAATAGGATTTAGTTGACTGTCTGTTAAAAGAATTTCACTAGCGGGCTCTCTCGCTTAGTAGGAAAATCGTAGTGATGGACGATGGAGAATGTATGGCAACGAAATGTCCAGTGAAATTTCAAGAGCTAAATTTGGTTAAAAGAAGCGTTTATGCCTCCTTAAATCGGAGATTATAATTTCTATGGCTTCTGTACTTTGTTCAGTATGTTACATTGTTAACGTATGCCAACGTGACCAGTGGCCTAACTGCGAAGTGCAATGTGTTATTGAGTGTGAACCTGTGTAGTTTGACTTTTGCCTGGTGGTATATTGGTTAAAGGAGTTGGCCAGTGTCTACTTGCCAGCCTGTAGGGTGTGCGTAAGGTAAATGGAATGAGTGCTCCCATCGCTGCACAACTATACACGGTTATGTAGGGCCTCAGCGTTGTCACAACGTGTGATCACTTTACGTTGTTTGACAAACGTTGTGGTACAACGTTGTGGCAAGTTTTTGTGGTGGACTCCCCTGAACGCGTTGCCACGACGTCATATGCATAGAGAACAGTTGAATGGGGTAAAACGGTTGGGCCAACGTTGTCGCAACGTTCATTTTGTGGACTCCCTGAGAGAAGGAGAGGAGGACGTGAGAGTTGACCACAACGTAGTGTAATGTAACGTTCCTGGAACCGGTGGATGTAACCGTTCAGAATGAAGATATCTTCTTCAATTAAATGTTGTGATTTAATAGTTCTAAAGCAGAAAAGATATGGATGACGGTGATTCTATATCATGGGAGCATCATGGCGCAGTATTTACATTTCATTTAAAATTGACATATAATGCGATCTGTATAGTGCAATAAAAAACTAAGTTCATATATATGTTCAAATATGTCTTGCACAACTGGTAGAGTTCAAAATCTAAAAGGACACTAACAATTAAATAGCTTGACAACTTTTATTATTAAATTTACTATTACATGAAAAGGTAAATTACGCTCTCGTGCCATGTATTAATCGAATCGTTCTTCTCGTCGAGCGCACTAAATCTCGCCTCCCGGTCCCGGCGTTTACGGTTGAATCGTATATTGATATATGTGAACGGTGAAACCTATGCTTGGGCATTTATATTAGGACAGGATCTGGCTAGAGTTCAGAGGCCAAAAATACACATAAGAATTGTCTACTTTATGAAAACAACTATCACCAGGTTCACTCTTAAACAGTGTGTGTTGATTGGCTAATATATTTCTCTGTTCATGAGGTCATGGGCTCCTATATATCAGATTTTGTGCGAATTCGGACCTCTTGGATCCAGCAACTTGACGCACTGTGTCAGGGGCCTCTTATCCATAGCAATTTCCTTACATGTGAAAACACAATAAGATAGATTGGTGTCAAACAAACAATTTTACGCAGGTAATGGCATCTGGCTATGAGATGGTATACACTCTTAGTGACTCAAAATAAGGGTTAAATAGGGTATTTACCTGCTCGTATGAAAACACTCTATGTGGTGTCCAGCTCCGCGCGCGCCAGAGATACGCAAATTCTTGTCACCACCTGAAAGATGACAAATTGTTTATCTCGATACTAAGATCATATAAATATTCCCACGTTATTATTGGCTGATCATTAGAGGGCTCGTTGAATTAATTGTGGTGAGCCACTTACTCTCTTTGGAGTTAGTAAACTGAAATTCCTACTATATTAAATATAAACGGAATAATTTAAACATTTACTCTATTGAAGCCGTGTATTCTATATCGGTACTGTCCATAGTCGATCGTAGCACAGCTAAGCTCTACAGTGTGTATAGCGTAAAGCAGTTACAGTTGGCCGCTGGGGGCCGCTCGCCAGCCGGCCAACTGTTAGGCGGGCTATAGTGGTATACGGTCAGACTTAGTAGCCTAATATTAGAGCAGCTAAGGTGATTGGTATTGTTTATAAGTTGACATTCCAGCAAATTAATGGTGCAATGTTCATAGTACATTACACTTTTGGCTTGGAACTCAACATCATGTATGATCGTCCATATTGCTATTAGAAGTGTGCGCTCAATATCCAATTAAATAACACATCAAAGATGGCAGATCCCCCAGGATCTACAAGCTGGGGTGTGTGCTTGACATGTAGGGTGGCTTCCGCCGCTCGGGACCACGTCCTTTGTGGCGATGACTCGTGCCTTCACAGGCCAAAATCCACATTCGCATCATTCTTTGAAAAATGCTGGCAAAGAGTTCCTGTAATCAAATTACAAGGGCACTGCCTTTAACGGACGTTACTATACGCAGCCTTGGCTGTGTTCTGGATACGTACAACTTTCAATATATGGTGTTTATTACGTGCACGTCGCGTGCTCTTTTTCTCCTGGTCCGCAGCCGTGTCTCCAGATCGTCGAAACTATGGCCACTCAATATGTCTTAGGATGAGGAAATTGGGGAGAGGGGAGAAGCTGGTGGAGTAAGGGAGGAAGGGTGAGAAGGAGACCGAGTGGTGGAGTAAGGAGGAAGGGAGAAGCTGGTGGAGAAGAGGAAGGAGGAGAGGAAGAAGGTAGGTCGTAGAAGGAGCAGGGAATGAAGGGAGGTGGTTGGAGAAGGGGGAGGGGAGAAGTGGTCCGAAAAGGAGGAGGGGGAGAAGAACGGTGGGTGGTTGAGAATGAGGGAGAAGCTGATGGTGGAGAGGAGGAGATGGAGAGAGAACGCCTCGAGAATTTGGTGCTTAGGAGGAGCGGCTTGTGAAGCAAGGCTATGCAAGGGCGCAAGGCTAGGTGTGGATGCTCTGCGCAGGAATGAGTAATGCGGAACGCTCCGGCTTGGGTATGGCGTGGAGGGAGAGGAGAGTGAAATTGTGGCTGGTGGAGGAGGGGAGATGGATGTGCATCCAACACGCACGGTGAGGTGAGAGGAAGGCGAGGTAGAGGGGAGAAGGTAAGTGGATGATGCGAAGGAGGGCGCAGCTGTGGAGTGAAGAAAGGAGGAAGGACGAGAGGAGGGGGAGAAGAAGCTGGTGGGGAAGGGGAAAAGGGTGAGGTGGATAAGGACTGTGCTGGGGGGAAGTGAGACCTGGTGATATGGAGAGGAGAGACTAGGATGAATGTTGAAGAGGAGGGAGTTGTGTGGAGGAAGGAGAGAGGAAGGAGAAGAAGTGGTGGGAGAAGGAGGAAGAGGAGAGAAGCATGAGAAGGTCGGTGAGAGAAGGAGGAATGAGAACAGATGGTGGAGGAGGAGGGGAGAAGTAAGGGTAGGAGAAGGAGGAAGGCGGAGAAGAGGCCTGGTGGGAGGAGGAGTGAGAAGGATAAGGTAGAGTGGAGGAGGGGAGAGTAGAAAGGCTCGTAAGCGTAGGGTGAAGGGCAGAGGTGACCAAGGAGTGCAGGAGTTAGTGTGTGAGAGAAGTGTGGAAGGAAGGTTAGAGAGGAGAGCACAGATGGATGGGAGTGAAGAGGGGAGAAGGAGTAGAAGGAGAGGGGAGAGAAGGAAGCTGGGTGGAGGAGGAGGGAGAAAGGGAGGATAGGAGAGAGGGGAGGAATAAGGAGGGGGGAAGGGGGGGAGCTGGTGGAGGAGGAGGCGGGTGAAGAAGGGAGGTTGTGCGAGGCGGGGAGGAAGGCTGGTGGGCAGAAGGGAGGAAGGAGGAAGAAAAGAGAATGGTGGTGGAGAAGGAGGATGGAGAATGCTGGTGGAGTGAGCAAGGGGGAGGAAGCTGTGGAGAAGGAGGAAGGATGGAGAAGGAGGGGAGAAGGGAGCTGGTGGAGGGGAGGATGGGGGAAGGGAGAAGCTGGTGGAGAAGAGAGGTGAGGGGGAGATCTGGTCGAGAGCTTCCTCTTCTTCACTTAGCTTCTTCCTCTCCCCCGTACTTCTCTACCAGGCTTTCTCCCCTCCTTCTCCCCTTCCTCCTATCTCCAACCAGCTTTCCTTTCCTCCTTTCCCACCAACTTCTCCCCTCTTCCTTCTCACCAGCTTCTCCCCTACCTCCTTCTTCCACCAGGTTCCCCCCTCCTTCTCCATCACCTTCTCTCTTCTCCTCTTCACCTCCTCTCCTTTCTCCACCAGCTTCTCCCCTCCTCCCATTACCTTCTCCTTTCTTCCCTCCTTCCTCCACCAGTCTTTCTCCCCCTCCTTATCCCTTCTCCCTTTCCCCCTCCTCCTATCCACACAGTTCCCTCCCGCCCCTTCGTTCCTTCCTTCCTTCTCCCCCAGCTTCTCACTTATCCTCCACCACCTTTCTCCTTACTTCCCCTCTCCACCACCTTCTCCTTCTCCCTCCTTACCACCACCTTCCTCCCTATGCTCCTCCATCCTTCGTCCACCAGATTCTCCCTCGCCTCCTTCTCCACCACCTTCTCCCTTCTCCCTCCCTCCATCCACCAAGCGCTCCCTCCTCCGTCTCCATCATCTTCTCCCTTCTCCCTTTTCCTCCAACAGCTCCCTTCTCCCCTCCTCTCTTTCCTCCTTTCATCCATTCAGCTTCTCCCTCTCCTTCACCAACTATCGTCCCCCTCCTCCTTCTCACCACTTCTCCCCTCTTCCTCCACCCAGCATCTCTTCTCCCCTCCCTCTTTCTCTACAGCTTCTCCTCTCCTCCTTCTCCAACCCCTTCTTCCTTCTCCCCTCCTCCTTTGCCACTAGCTTTCTGCCATCATCCTTTCTTCCACCACCATTCTTCCTTCTCCACACTCCTCCTTCTCCACCAAGCTTTCTCTCTTCCTCTTCTTCCACCACCTTCTCTCTTCTCCCTTCCTCTTCTCCACCTAGCTTCTCCCCCTCCTCCTTCTCCACCAGCTTCTCCCTTCTCCCCTTCCTCATTCTAGCCATATTGAGTCAGCCATAGGGATCCGCCACTGACCCAAGCTTTCAATCACAAACTGGTTATTGCTCTGAGATTGGTGCTAGGTACTAGTAGTAGTATACTAGTAAGACTTGTTATTATAAGCCTAACAATGGGTGTCAACATTGAAAGCTGTGAAAGCAACAGTCGAATTGACAATAGTGCAGGACGTGTGCTATAGACCACGAGTGTGACAGGTCAGCTGTGCAACTAATGAATGTAAACTCACAAGAACTTATACTGTAACTTAGCCCGACCAGGCTGTGCGACGGATTGTCTATACATAGGTATTCTAACCTTAGCAATACCGTTTCTTGGGGTGATACTCCATTAGCAGTGTTCCCAACTTTAATGTCATTAATGTTCATAATAACATATATATATATATATATAATATGTGTGATATAGGTCAATGATCTACTATGTAATTTGTGGTTTAGTGCTCATTTAGTTAGGGTTAGGGTTAGGATTATCAATTCATTATAATTCAATTAATTCGTTAATGATATCAATA